CCGTCCAGTGTCTGGACATGTGATGAACCACAATGATGTGTCCTATCTGTGATGGCTCTCAAGATCCCAGCTGGAATCTTACTCAGGAGGCTCCTCAGTTTCTGGAAAACCAAGGAATAAATGAGTTCTCTTTATTTGCCTGAAGTCTGTTCAATTAGAATATCAGGAAACTGATTTGAATCTCCTGAATTTGAGTAAGTACCACTTATATTCTTCCTACAAACAGAAATGCAACTCTATGTAAATATCCATAATGAATATTTAACAGCATGCTGGAGTTAAATTAGTGACTAAAGATGAAAGCCAAAAAGGTAATCTGCTCAGATGCTGCACAGAAATTGTCTCTAAATTCATTCCTTATTTTTAAATCAGAATCTTAAGCACTGGCCTCTTATGCAAAGCCACACTATGTCATGAGGAGTACTCTCAGCAAATGCTTTCTAGAGCCATCTTGCTTAAAACTTGTACAACCGGCACCCCTCACATAAATTGTAAACAGATTTTATTGACTGAACAAATGTTAATGCCATCATATGTTAATGGGCGATGCTATGAAAAGCACGAAAGTATTACAGCACTGGAACCTTTAAGGATGAAATATAGTACAATTTAGGAAACTAACTGTTATAGACATATGTTGGCCAAGAAGGCTTCCAGCTCTTATGGCCCATCTTTAGAGAACTCAGTTCTCATTTTTCCCTTGGTTAAGAGAATTTTCCAATTATACACAGATTTATTAGGTCCCAGGATTAAAAATTTCTGAGTAAGAATAAAAAATAATTATACTTTAGCACACGATGTAATATTCAAATGACTCAAAAGCAGTCACCTCAGCAAAATTCAGAGAGGAACAAGGAAGCAGTTACAGATGAGGTTGGTACCACTGGCCATAAAAGCTTATGTGAGAGTGTAAATGCACAAATGCATGATCCAGCACTTTCACATCGTAATCGTGCAGAAATGTGAAGACTCCATTTCACAGCAAAATGCCTGGATGATTTCATTAATGAGCCAAGGAGACTTCTTCATTTAGTGACTGTGTAGTAGTTAAGAGAGAGTGTGAGTTGGTGCCAGAAGTCTTTTTAAAATCACAGCTCACTCCAAGCTCTGCGACTTTGGGCAAGGTGTGCCTAACTTCTCCCCACTACACTTTCTTCACCTGTAACACAGGTGTGTGACATGGGGCAGCTCATGGGGCAGCTGTCACCATCAGCAGAGTGAACATATGCCAAGAACTTGGGCCTCCTATGTGATGAGTGTTTAGTAAATGTCAGCACTTTACCCCCTTGGCTATTGTTCTTGGACACCGGGCATAGTGCAATTGAAAAGTGGCTGAATGGAAACTATGGACTTTGCTTCTAAGAAGTTTCTAAATTCACTGACTTGGTTTTCTCCATTTTTTCTAGATTTGGTTCTCTCCTTTCCACAGAAAGAATCCTCAAAGATATCAGCAACCACCTTTCTGCTCTCTGTCCCTTTGGGTGGTTTCAGATGTTTGCCTTTCTTGTCCTCTCAAAACTCTGAATGCTACTAAGCTTGGAACTCTCTTCCTATAAAGTCTGTGACCCCTCAGCTTCTCTCATCATTCTTTCTCATTTCTATTTCCCAGTGGATCTTTATTTTCTAGACCTTTGACTGTGAGAATTTAAGCTCTCAACTATTTCTTGGTCTCTCTTTTCTCTCCAGCAAAGTGCAACCATGTCTGTGGTTTAATTTCCAAAGATGTGCTAATAAACCAAAACACTGGGCTGCAGCAGCTCCCAAACCCCTATATTCACCTCCCTGCTCCATGTTGACTTGGATGTTTTGACTGCACTCTGTAAAAGTGGATTTGCAATTTTCTCCTTCCTCCAGTACAGGATCCCTCTTGAGGCCCCCACATTGGAGAAGACACATCCAGTAACTTTTCTGGACTCCTACAACAGCCTCCCACCCACTCTTGCTTTTCTACTCCTTTCCCTCACTCTATTTTCTGTGTGGCCAGAGTGCAGCACTGAGATTGCCAACGTGGTCACCTCACTCTCTGCTCAAATGCTTCACCAGCTCCCTTCCTTACATGACCTTGAACTTGCCTGAGTGTACAGTATCTTGTGGCTTCTCCTTCCTCTCCTGACTAGATGTATCTGCCTACCCTATAACCACTTTGGCCTTCCCCATCCTTCCAAGGCCACTAACAAGTGAAGCTCTTCCATGTCCTCTGCTTTCAAACTCTGTCCTTCTCCACAGTTGACTTCCTTTGTATCCTCTCTTAGTTCTCTGTCACTTCCTCAGAGAAGTGGCCCCAAGGAAGGTCATAGGCTGTATAGGTTTAGGCTGCATTCCTAAAATGTGTTTATCACATTTCACATTATATGCTTATTTATTGAATAAAGATATTTACAAGAACTTCACAAAGACTATGTACAAATTTACAAAACCTATCATCTGTTTCTTTCAGCAGATTGTTGGGTCCAAAAGACCAAAACACTATGTCTGTTGGTCTCTATACTGTTCCGATAGCCTCTCATATGAAAAAGGAATGAGTACTACACCAATTGTCTTCATGTAAAGACTTTTTTTTTTCATGAATTTCTTTTCCCTCCACAGTAACAGAGAGTTGTCACTTAAACACCATGATTACAAGTCACAGGTCATCCTAGTGACCTTGACCTTATCATTTACCTGAGCTGGACACAAGGGCAGAAAAGATTATAAGGAACATTTGTTTCCAAAAGACTATCCAAGGAAGGCTGGCATACAAAAGAAGGGCTATCATGTAAATGATTTACAGGAAATGGAATCTGCCTGTGAACATCACAATGCCATTTGTCACTAATGCCATTTGTCAATGCCAGGAGTGCCACTAACATTCATTCACTGATTTATTCATTTATTCAGCAAAATTGTGACTCCTGAATTCTAGACACTGGGGCCACGGTCTAGGAGGAATGCTGGAGTGTGACAGATATGCTATAAATGTAGTAGGGATGGGTCCTGTGCTTGTATTTGGAAGTGACAACGTGCTTAGGGAAAGGGAGGAAGAGGCCCTTGGAGAATGGCTGATGGGCTGAGGCAGGGAGAGCCAGAAACACAGCCCAGAAGCCACTGGGAACACTGCCTGCCCAGGACCCACTGCTAACATCCCCCAAGGTGGGCAGGTGGGAGAGTGCTGCTGGTGGCTATGCCTCTCCCATCCTGGACCATTTGTCATGGGTTCTGGAGAGAGCAGAACTCAGGGCACTTGGATATCCTCTGTTCTCTTGCACAGCTACAGACCTCATCTCCAGCCCTCTCTGGCACCCATGCAGATTCTTCAACCTTGTGCAGGGGTTGCAAATCCATTCACAGGTCCAGGTTTTCCCTTGCTTCCAACCCCAATTGTGTGTGTGTGTGTGTGTGTGTGTGTGTGTGTGTGTGTGTGTGTGTGCAGTGGGGTGGGAGCAGCACTAGGCACCCATGTGAGAATATCAGGAGTCAGTATCACAGGAGGGGAGGGTTGAGGCTGGAAGGGTACATGGCTCTCATTAGCTGTATTTAGAAAAAACAGATAAACTCTTGATTGTGGCAATCTATTTTATTTTAATTGAATTTTACTTTACTTAAACTATATCTTTTCCTAAACTGCTTAGAGAGTAGAAGAGGGAAAAAAAAAGGACAGATTTGTTTCATATTTTTAGAAAAGTTCAGAGATGATAAAAGGAGTAGTTTGCTAATTAGGGAAAGCAGTGTGGGGTCTGGTATGTTTTGGTATTGTCATCTTCCAGAAGGAAACACCATGACCAGTCAAAGAAAAATAGCTTAAAATGGAGCATTTGGAGACCAAACATGAATGTATGTCAAAAGAGAAAAATTAAAAAGTTTATCTCAGCACCATACAGGATTAGTTATTTAAAACAAAACAGAATAGAGAAAATAGAGATATAAAACACAACCCGAGTTTTAATACATGTACTTAAGTGCCACACATACAGCTGCCTGTTTTGACAACTGTTTTCTATATTAAAAAAATAAAAAGAAATCTTTATGGATGTGATATATCAAACTTCAATTAATTATTCCGGCTAACTTAAGAGATTTATTTTTTTTTCCAGAAAGAAAAATTTCCACTTTTAAAATGCTTTGTTAATGTAAAATTTTAAGCCAAGTGATTCTACAGCATTACTGAAATGTACTAGCAGCTCAAGAAAAAGGTGTGTGGGGTGTCTAAAAGTTAGGAACACACTAAAATGAAGTTGCTGTCATTTTTTTCTTTATTAGGGAATGGCCATCCATCTCACCCAGTTTGTCCTGGTGTTTTTCTTAGTGTAATATCAGTTTTCTGTGAACTGTAAATTATTAGGTTGCTCCTTTGAAAAAGTATGAGTGGAGGAAAACTATGGGTTGATGATGACTTCCTGATTATAAGCTGGAACACTCAGGGAGACACAAATCTGGTACAACAGTCAAACCAACTTGTAAATGCGCGTGTGAAGCTGGCTAGGGCGGGGGGCATGGAGACCAAGGAGGAGGATGGTGTCAAGGACAGGTGAGCAGAGTACCAGGACCAGGAAATAAATGACACGCAAGATGACATAGGAATACAATTTCCAACTCTGAGCAATACCTCTTTGTCAGGTGCTTCTGATTCTAATGAAATTTCAAAGAAAAATAACAAGGTAACCCCTGCCAGACTCAAAAAGTACAGACTGTTAAAGGAACAGCAGGGTGATAAACAGCACATCCATGTGTGAGCACCTTGGTATTTCTCATCTGAAATCTACTTTTCTTTCTTCAGCTGGTTGCTTTAATAGAGGGCTGCTGCCTTAACCTGAACAAAGGCTCCCAAAGGGGTGAATGCCTAGATTTCTACTGGAAGTGTTGCTTAGGTGTCACGTGGGCAACAGATGTGATTGTCCTCAGAAAACGTAAATGTCAATCAACAAACCACTGTGGGCTCCCTGTGGTAATGTGGCCACATGACTCCTTTCTGCTTGGCATCTATGCCCAAAACATGGATAAGATTTTGAAAAGAATATCCTTACCCGGATTATTTCTTCCACACAGCTGTTGCTTTCTCCAGATCTACTCTCCTGAAAGCAAAGGAAAAAAAATATTAACCCTGATAGAACAGATTTATGGTCACAGAGAGAAGATGACACACAAGCTTCCAAATCAGTGGGAAAAATGATAGAGGTTTAGCCCAGGAGACTGCCAAGGCTGAGACTTACTAAAACCCCTTTCCTTAAGGCTGGTTTCCATATTGCCACAGTGTTCCCGTTCCTGGCCTGGCCTGGAGGGGCACACAGGCCTGTCCAGGGGCCTAGCCCACTAACCACACCAACATTAAGGAAGGTGGGCTCCCAGCAGTCCAGAACCTGACTCACTGTTCTGAGCTCCACTACCTTGGTCTCCATTAAGCAGGGAAGCTGTGGCTCTTGCTACAAAAGTGGCAGCAGTTTACCCCCAAATGCATGTCACATGTCATGGGATAAGGGGTGCAATAGTTTAGGAAAAACATGGTAGCACCAGAAGCCTCAGATCCTAGATTTATTGGTTTGATGAGAGCAAAGCTGAAAGATCAGAAAGAGCCACCTCTTCCAGAGGTCAGCACAGCGGGGTGGTACCACATTCAGAGCCATTTGCTCTGCAGTGACTCCTGTTGCCCCATGTGGTACAGACACCCAGAGACATTGCAGCATGGCAGCTCTAGGTCTCAGCAGACAGGTTCCAGAGATACTGTATGGTGACACAGCCCAGAGCACAGGACATGGTTTGTGGGGACACGGAGGCAGGGGGCGTCTGCAGTGGGAGCACTGTCTGTGGTCATGGGGAGATCACTTTCTTGGGTCCCATAATTCAAGCATGTTGACCACAAAACAGTGTGATGTCCTAGTTTTCCTACCATCAAAAAGGCCACCTAGGGCTGGGGATTTAGCTCACTGGTACCACCACCTGCCTCGCAAGTACAAGGACCTGAGTTCAATACCTGGTACCAAAAAAAAAAAAAAAAAAAAAAAAAAAAGGCCACCTGCATGTTTCCTGGTTTTCTAGATCACTCCAAGTCATCCTACAGCTCTCAGCTCACCTATGGCTTCCTCAGTGCAGCTGTCCCTGACCCCAGAGAGGCATGCACAGTGGCATCTGCTCCCTTATCCCTTCCCTCCCTGTCTACAGGTAATGATGGTCTCTCCCTCCAATCCAGCACTCCCTCCAGAACATGCTCCACTGCCTTGGGGGCTCTGTGTCATCCCCAGTGTGCTCCCCATAGTATGGATGTACAGTGTCTGACAACTGAAGGAAGGACAATGAGGAACAAATGAATTTCTTTCTTATAGTTCTCAGGGAGATAGATCCTATCTGAATCAGAGCTAGGAGTTTTACAGATGACAAAGGCTCTACCAAAGCCCATGCCTTATACTCTCCAACCCTTTTCCTGGGGGCAAAATGGTCCCTCTACCTAGAGTAAATGGCTTCACCAGGTCTCCAAACTGAGGCTCAGAGTGCCGGGGGTTTAGCTCAGTGGTTCTGCTGCCTGCCTCAAAAGCAAGGTCCTGAGTTCGATCCCTGGTGCAAACCAAAACAAACTGAGGCCCAAAAGTTTGCATGTATAGCACCAGAGCCTGGACCAGAAGGCAAGATGCCCATCCTTAGACACAGACATTTTCTCTTGCAGAAGCATTTCCCTGATCCCAAAGGTTGCATCTGAAATATATCCTCTCCCTCAGGAAACTTCAGCTTATGTGCCTGTGAAAGGGAAGCCAGAGGCTTTCACCACAAAGGTGATGTGACAGACTAGTGGGTCTCAGTGGCCCCTTGGAAAGACCTCCTTTGGGGTTCAGTGGTAAAATGAAAGGACTCTACTTGTTCCTCAAACCCTATCTATAAACATTTTTCTTACTCTACTTCCAAGTCCCAAAGTGTTCCTACTGTGGAACATGGTAGCAGAGCAGATGCAAAACTCTCAATATACTTTCTCTTTTCTACCTTCAAACCATTAAAAGGAAAATTTGACCTACATTCTCTTGGTGGAACTACCCAGATACAATTACATTCTAAAGACTCTTCAAATTAAACTTTGGGTTTGACTCCTTAAAGCCAAGCTTTCCCTAAAAACCAAACCCATTCTTTATTTGATGTGGTTTATATAAATGACAGGTTTCTCTTATGATGATCTCTCTCTCTCTCTAATCCTATAAATTGCCAGTACCCTACTCTGATAAGGGAATGCACAGAGAGAGAGATTGTGGGATAGACGTACTATTAAATACTTTTTTTTTTAGGGCGTGAAGGGAGGGCAGGGACAAGGGGAAAAAATGAGAACCAAAATGTACCTGTCATGTAAAGGTACAAGATCCCAGTAATGAATGTAACTGTATACCTAGAATGTACCAATAAACTCAATAAAAAGAAAAAAAAATACTTTTTTCTCTTGAACTCGTACCTTTCAAAATGTATTTTGGTTCTTATTTTTTCCACATTTCCCTGCCCTCCCTTCAACCCCTCCACCCTCCCCATTTGCAAAAGCTTTGTTTCCCTTTATTTCTTATTTCATATTTACTTTTGTTGTCATTGTTCATGGTGCTTTTAGGATTATCACACTGGGTCATATCAATGGCAGCTCTAACCATGAGCCTTGGTAATCTGGATGGATGCACACATCATGTACTTTGCTACTGAGAAGGTGCCACAGTGAGGTTTCCAACAGCAGCGTCATATCGTCCTGGCCTTAGGTCACAGCCTGAATAGTCTTTGGCAAGGAACACCTGGGTCTTCTCTAAAGCCTTACCCCATGGATTTGGGAAGGGCCCCATGTTGGTTTGGATCTCCAGGGCTCCATATGGGTTGGATGGGATCCACAAGGCCCCATGTTGCAGAAATGCAGCGTGAAAAGGTGCCCTGGAACTCACCTTTGGCCAATGTAACGATTTTCACAGATGGAGAAACTGTGGCCCAGAGAAGTGAAGGGCTTGTTCCAAAATCATTCAAGCAGCAACAGACAGAAGCCATACAGATTTTTTTCCCCAGTACTGGCTCTGTGCATTTTCTATCTCCTGCTGTTTCCATAATCCTAATCCTTAGGATTGGCTCAAGTTAACTCTCATGCATAAAGTAAGGAAATGAAAGAACTCAGATGGTGTTTAATAAATTTCCTCCTTCTTTCCATGGTGCAAAATATCCAATATTTTGTCTCTCACTAAACTCCACTATCACTTGCATAAACCGAGGGGAGAAGGGATGGGAGAGGAAGCAGAGAGAAAGGGTCAAAACTACTATCCCGTCTGTGGCATTAAAAAAATCAGAGCTGAGAGTTTGTGTTCTCAGAAATAGGAGAACAGAATCCTACCTTCTCTTTTTCAAATCCACAAAAGGGGCAGAGGAGTAGGAAAGACCTGGGCAGAGGGACTGGAGGGCCTTCACCTTCCTGAGACCTTTTCCAAACCTGGTTTCAGTTATGGTTGTGTTCTCTGATTATATTTACATTTTGAAAACTTGCCATGTTTATGCACAAAATTAAAATGTGTAATTTACATCTCCAAGTTTGTATTTATACTTTTCACAATAAAATTATTGCTTCTCTTGGAAAGGTACCCACTGAGAAGGAGGGCTGCACAATGTAAATTTTAATTACTCTGGATTTTTTTGAGGGCATGTTGCTGTTGTTTCATGCTGAGTTGCTGAGCTGTTGCTCTGTATTTACTCTGACTTTGATGAATCCACCTCATTTTCCCATCGTTACATTTTGAAATGTGTCATAACAGTCTCACCTCATTGAGCCTCCAACTAAACTTCAATTAAAAACTAGCATCCCAGCTGATTCTCCTTCTCTACAGCTTTGCCTGTCATGTTCATTTCCCCAAATCCAACCACTTAAACACACGCTACACTCTGCCAGTGAAATGTAAGGAACTAAGCTGTGGGAAAGCAGAGCTCAGGGAATCACCAGGAGCGTCCTGTCCCAGACTGCTGCCGAAGTCCCTAATTACCATGCTAAGCACAGAGCCAAGGAAGGAGCAAGGCTCAAGGAGAAAAGGTCCGATCAAATCAGTGGGAAATGGCATTTCATTGCAAAGATGAGCTGCACACATCCTAGCTTTTGAAAATCGTTTAACTCTTTGTCAGACACATTTCAGGTGAACCTTTCATTGCAAAATGCTATTCTTTTAAAAATCGGAAAGCCTTCATTTGTCTGAAAGCACTGAAAAGACCCAGGGGCATTTAGAAATGATTTATCCCATGCACTCATCTAAATATTCCTGTAAAACTATTTTTAAATATATTTTGCTATCAATGAGCTACAGAAAATCTGAGGTAAGAAGAAATTAGGAGCGCTGTCCATGCTGCTGCTCACAAAAGCAGCATGTGGGACCCAAGCCTGAGTTCAGGGATTGTCACCATTCTATGGGAAGTCCCATTCCTACCATGGTGTCCTCAGCCTGACCCTTGAGGACAGGGTCACCAGTGATCGAGGAAGCAGCCAGTCAATTGTCTTCCAAATTCAGCTTGACTACACCTAACAGGCTGCACTTGGCTCCCAATGTCTCACTGGAAAACTGGCTTCAGCACTGGTCAGCCCTCTCTGCATCGCATTGCTCAGCACACCCATGAGCCTCTGCTCTACCACTGTGGTCCCACTATCACTGACATCGTAATCATCCTCTAGATATTTCTACACCAGAGAAAAATAAGCAAAGGCATTTTCAGAAAAGCAGGATGTGAAAAGGTAAACCATGAAAGTGCAAACTAAATGACAACAGACAGTGGAAATATTAACATCAACTAAAGGACAAGTCCTAGTTAAAATGCATGCAGCAAAATATAGGATGAGGACAGAATAGCCAGGGCATTAATAGAGCATCGAGGTAAGATATGTTAGGAAAAAAGGAAGAGAAACAGGATTAGGATGGTTAGAAATTTTCAGTCCATCTCTGTGTTTCCTAATAGACAAAAGGAATTTCAAAAAAAAATTACATGAAGGAATAGAGGAATAGAGCATTTGAACAAAAAAAATTAAGTGGGCTTGATTAATAGATAAGAATAAACTTGGAAGGTTAAGAGGAAGCACCCCTTCCCACGGACGCACAAAATAGTT